TGAATCGGCCTCACTCTCTGCTTCTAGTGCCACCAGGGAGACCCTTCACTGGAATCCACAAGCGAAGCTAAAAGTGGGTCGACCAAAACAGTCTTGGCGCAGTAGTCTTGACTCAGAGGTGAATGCAGCTGAATAGGATGGCCCGGAAATGCGCCCGTTGGAAAGGTGTTGTTGCGGCCCTATGTTCCACAATGAATCAAAAGGTATAACATTTTAACAACTACCCAATATATATATATATATATATATATATATATATATATATTATGTTTATACGCTCTTTTTATAGATAGAAATATTTAAGTAAATGCTCAGTTTATAATAAACTGCATTAACTATATTTACCGGCCTAAATGACCGAGTAATTTTCATAGAAAATATGCGCCCTCCGAAAGAAATCGAACCTGTATCCTATACGGAACCGTCATAAAGCCTGACATGGTTCACCGACTTAGCAACAGTGGAGCGTTTCGTTTAGCAAGGTCGAGTTTACTGTTTTTAATCTATGAAAATTTCTCGGACATTCAGGCCGGTAAATGTCGTTAATACTGTTTATTATAAACAGAGCATTTACTTAAATATTTCTATCTATAAAAAGAACGTATAAACATAAAAATTATCTTAAAATAATTGTCGGATTTTATCCATTTTATATATATATATATATATATATATATATAATCCGTATATGTCTTAAATTCATTTATTTTGAGTTGTTAAAATTTTCAAACGAATTTCGTTGATAGATAATATTTATGGAATTGAAGTTTTTTTTTCCGATTTTGGATAGGAATATTTACAAATTAAATTTTAAGTAAATAAATTTTAAGTAAATTGTCATATAAATATATATGTGTGTGTGTGTGTGTGTGTGTGTGTGTGTGTTATGCGCGCGTGTGTGTGTGTGTGTGTGTGTGTGTGTGTGTGTGTGTGTGTGTGTGTGTGTGTTGTATGTGTGTGTGTGTGTTTGCCGATATTGATAATATAATCCGATTTTTTTTTTATTTCTTTATTATTTTTGTGGTGCGGGACTTCGTCTTGTTTGGTGATAAAAATTTATTTTTGATAATTAACA